CCCCTCCACGTGGCTCTGATAAAACCACTCCACGTCCTTTTATCGGCATTGTCTGCAGCCTACTCAAAGTTATTCTCCCTCTACTTCAAATTTTCAGGAGAACCCTGAGCATCACATTTGACAATCAATAAACGAACTGGAATTGATTATGTACTGGTGTACAGTACATTTAGATCAATACTTGTCCACTAATTTTCTTTTGGATGGTTCCAATTTGCATGTGCAAGCTTTTGCACCTTATGGGTTGTAGTTTGCCATTCAAATAACCCACTTCCACATGTACAGTAAATTATGAAATGTATTATACAATATTTTAATTTCATGTACTGTCATAATGCTTTCATACTTTTTTGTTTCTCAGGGAAATGCTGGTGCCCCTGGACCCAGAGGACGAGATGGATCAAAGGGCATCAGGGTCAGCCCGCTCATAATGAAATATTAATAATAAAAAATAACTTTATTATTGTATCCATCATTCTAGGTTACTGCGATACAACAGAATGCTAATTGGGGATGACTTCATGCGAAAAAAGAACTTTATATAACAAGAGCGATTAATTTTTCATATTACAGAGATGGCTTAAGACCATCAGAATGTTTTAAGAGCTGACAAAACTGGGATCAGGTCTTTGCATTATTAAAGTATATTTGCCTCTGAAAGTTTTGATTTGGCCGATCCGATGGTTGCCACTTTTTCTGCCTTGGCAATGTGCCTTAGCAATGTGGCAAAGATTTTCTTTGGAAGGTCACACTGTGGTTAAGGATACTAACTGACACATTATGGAGTTTGATTCAGTCATTGTTGCTTTGTTTAAATAACAAAGCAATATAGGAATGCTGATACATTTTTAATGTTGTTTTGTTTTTGTTTTTAGGGAGATCCTGGTCCACCGGGCCCACAAGGTGCAAGAGGAAGCAGGGTAAAGTCAGATCATATACCTTCCTTCTCCTCTTGTTTCCAAAGAAATTCAGTGACCATGTATTGCTTGTTTCCTTGAGTCACCATGCAGAACCTTAGAAAACTCGACTTACATTTTACACTGTCACTAAAGCCTCATGATTGTTTTTGTTGTTGATGGAACTTACAGTCCAACAGAGCCTGGAAATTTAAGTGTCTAATGTCATAGTAGTAATGCTTGTTATAACAATGAACAATAAACTTGATATTAAATCACAAAGAAACAGACTTCTTATTTAAGGCTAAAATTTCACAAGATTTTCATTATGTGCATTTCTTGCTGTATTTTTTTTATCATCCTTAATATAATGCTTTATATGTTTCACAGGGTCCACGTGGTGAGCGGGGGTCCCCAGGAACTCCTGGTACCCCAGGAACCAAGGTATTCTATAAAATAACAATTTTCAATCTCATACCTCAAGTCTTCACACCTTACTGTGCAAGCTTAACAAAATGAGCAACTCTGGAGAGGTCTATCACAAGATTGATTTTGACAGGCTTCCAAAACAACGGTTAAGTGACCAGACGTAAAACATCAAGAGACTCCACTGAGGCGTGTGTTAGTCAGTAATGTTAGGCAGGTACATGTAGACTATATTTTTAGACTTCCATTCCCAATCAGAACTTTCCAGGGTCACTTGCTCCCTGACTACTGGTCAAGGGAAACGAAGACTCTGGGTATAAGGCTGAAAAATACATTACGTGGTATCATAGACGTGCAAATGTGTGCAGAGGGTCGTGTAGGCACCCAGCTTTAATGTTTTGCACGCATTGCAGGCCTAAGATACTTGCTAAAATTTTCACCCAGAAAGAATTAACCAATAATAAGCACCACTTGTATTGAGTAGCAGGTTGTAATGTAAACTGTTAAGCTACTTTTGACCGACCTTATTTAAATCCTGTTAATTTCTTGTCAGGGAGCTCCTGGTGAAGCTGGCGTGCCCGGTGATCGTGGAAACCCAGTGAGTGTAACATCCTATGCAAGGGTTTTATTAAGGGCCAGTCACTGGGAAAATTGACCGGCCGTGAGGACGATTTTGCTGGGCTGGTTTGACCATCTAGCAGAACGTCTTTCTTACAAAGGAGTTCAGTTCTATTAGTTTTGCCCACCTGTGAAAACCAGTTGCCCTTCTGCTGAAAACCATTAATGAAACCCCTGCCTATGTGTTGTGATCTTGGTCTAAATATTCGATCACACCTCCAGGACAGTGACAAATAACATGATAACAAAGTCGTAGACGTGAGTCGTGGTAAAAGTTGAGAAGCTAGTGACAAGTTTAAAGAAGTCAATTACAATGCAAACGTCAGTCCTGCCGTAAATTGATTCCAGGACTCACAAAGAAAGGTCCATCAGCATAATGACCTCCTTTCCATGTAAAGGATGGGCCTTGAGGTTGCGAGGGTACATTAACTCTTACCTTTTGCATCACATGACTTCAATGCCAATTAAAGTCATTTGAATCTCTCCTCACAGGAACAACAAAATTAATTTTTTAAAAAGTTATGCTTTTGCTATTAGCACCCTATGAACTAACTTGACTTGTGTTATAACTTGGACCAGTGACTTTTACGTCTAATACTTGTACGTAGCTTTATACCATCATTATCAATAAAATTAAGCGTCGAGGTTAGCTTACATTCTTGCTGAACAAGAACAAAAACAAATGCTGTCCAACTTCATTTTCACAGGGTCCGCCTGGACCTCAGGGAGACCGAGGGCAGCAAGGAGGTCGCGGACCAATGGTAATCTATGATAAGTTATCACTAAATAATTAAAATTCGTTTGAGAAGCTGACGGCAATGATATTTTATTATTATGAACTTCTTTTGCAATTGAGTGCTATTAGACAAAAACCCAAAACCACTCTAACCAATCGCAAAGCAAACAGAAATCCTATGAAGCAATCAAAACTTAAAGACGAGACGTGTGAGGGCGAGTCCCAATAATAGTCCCAATTAGTTTTGGTTTTAATTGTGATTGGATAAAAAAAGTGACGCGAGTTATTATAAGGCAATCGTGTAGTATAGTAATGCAAAACCAATTACTTCTCGACACTAAAATAAAAACCTCTGTGGGTTATTTAAATACATTTTGTTTTTGATTGTTAGGGTTTACCAGGAAAGCCAGGTTTACCAGGATTTCCAGGACCTCGTGGAGAGACGGTAAGATTGAGTTTGCGTAGCAGCGGTTTGTATATTTCTCTTCATGGTTTTATTTATGATGTCGACAACTGTTTTCAATTGTTTTTCGGAAGTATTTCAATATCTGTAAGAATTTTTGGTTTTTTTTTAGGGACCTCAAGGAAAAACTGGCTCTCCAGGCCCTCCTGGAATCCCTGGTGGCAGGGTAAGTTATTTCTCTACTCATTTTTTCTTTTTCACCACTTAGCTTATCACAGGAAATTTATGTGATAGAGAATGAATGATCATCCGAGAATGTTCTTTGTGTCGAAATTCAGACAACAATTGGCAAAACTAGAAGATATATTTCGGCAAGCACTATACATAGTACATCATGTGACATAACATTTTTTGCCTTTGGCCTTTTTTTGTAGCATAAGACCGTTTGTTAACACTTTTTGAACTTGCATGATTCAAATTATTAAACGTCCTCTTTTGTATGGCGGGAATCATTATTCTTTATGGTGAAATCAAGAAAACTGAGTATGGTTTTAAGAAAATATTAATATAAAATCGCAAAACTTTAAGTGTTGTGAAACATATCATCTTTCAATATTTTAAGATTAAGTGGTCATGGAAAATTGCTATAACTTAAGGTCCAGTGGAGCCCGGTTAATACGAACATCAAAGGAGCACGTAAATGTGTCTGCAATAAGCAGGTTTCTGTAGAGTGGGTTTAATTTCTACTGTATTATAAGTACAATACTGGAGCGGTTTTTAATTGAGTGTCGTTAAACCAAAACCAAGGTATTCACTCGGGCCAATTACATAGGACCCAGACAATCCGGTGAACCAATCAAAACTAGAAGCAAATGCGAGTAGCTGACGCGAAGCGCGGGAAAACATGTGCGAACGGACACATGACGATTGGTTTTGGTTTTACTTCTGATTGGATGATAAAGTGGCGCGAGTTTTCTAAGCCAAGCACATAGCATGGTAATTCAAAACCAAAGCAAATGCGAATCACATTGTACTACTCTATTTAACCCAAAACTGATTTTACTCACAATCTATTAAAAAGCATCTCTAACTTTGTGATTCAGGGTCCAGCAGGCGAAAGAGGCAGCCCAGGACCCAAAGGGGAACGTGGCCGACAGGTGAGGACCATAATCAACGCTCTTGTTAAGCTCTTGGTTTGCATGTCATAATGTGTAACATGCATGACGGAGTCATTTTTCTTTGTCTCCTTTCCAGGGTACCCAGGGGCCAACTGGTGACCCCGGAGAACCTGGCAGGGATGGTGCTAAGGTTTGTACATGCAAAACACTATTGCTGGTTACATGTCTGATTCATCAGCAGGGACTGCAATTCAAGTCACACTTTACTTTTCTCAACAGGGTGAGCCTGGTAAACCAGGTGCAGATGGCAAGGACGGAGCAGCGGTAAGTAAGTTTTGAACTAATGCCGTTATCTTTCCATCTTGTATGCTCTGTAGGATTTTTTTTTTTTTGCTTTGAAAGGGTCTAAAACTTTTCCATTATTCTAAATGTGATCTGATAAGTCCAACGATCTCCTGATCTGAATATGTATCTTTATGTACTCAAGACAATTTTTTTTTTGTGATTTTATTCAGGGTCAACCAGGAACACCAGGACCGAAAGGTGCGATGGGACCGCCAGTAAGTGAGAACACTTTCACCAGTATTTTGTCATCGTGATTCTCAAATGTTTCCCAATATTAGTGGTCGACTACAGGTTTGACAAGGGACCTTGTAGAACATTGTCACTGGCTGTACAGGTATTTCATTCCCTGATGTTCCCGTTCTCTTCATCTTGTTGAAGATCTTCTTTGCATACGCTGAGGTAAATGTAACGAAAGGTTAGGCTTTTCACTCACAACAACACCACGATTCCGCGAACCATAACCAAAACTATCAACTACTGTCCGTTCCGAGACTACACTAAATCAAAATGTATCAACATTCCGTTAGAGAGGAACTTGGTCTGTCTTGAAAACCCAGTTTGGAATTGCTGGTAAAAATAAATCTTATCTAGCTGCAAAATTGGTTATGTTTTGTAAACTAATATGCCGTTACTTCCATTATTAAAAGTTTTGATGTAATTTTCGCTTGGAAGGTCTATCAGAGCGAAAAACTTTATGTGATATCCTTGCCGATGTCAATATAACAGTTGTGACATGGTGACCCCCTGAGTAAGGGCTTTTCCTCAGGACCATTTTCTTGAATCCTTAGGGCGCCCCAGGACCCAAGGGAGTAGAAGGACCAATTGGCCTTCCCGGCGGACAGGTAAGACAAGCATGAAACTGCAGTTTGTTGAATCTTTTCTCAATAATTGCTCCACATTTTAAACATTTAAACAAATTTATTCTTCCATATTGTTAGGGTCCTCAAGGAATGCGTGGGCCTCCCGGACAACCAGGGCCCCAGGGCCCTGCGGTAAGTACCTCATGTAGAGCATTTTCAGTGATTTCCTCATGTTTGAGTTATCAGAGAATAGGTGTTTATACAAACAGAGATTGAAAGCTAACTTCCTTCTGTTTTCAGGGACGGCCAGGCCGCCAAGGGCCTCAAGGAGCACCGGGAGAGAAAGGTAGTAGGGTGAGTGAGCATGCGCACATCACAGCTTGGGAAGATGACTTGTTTTGTTTGTAAAAGACGAACGCTCGCTAGTATGCAAAGACGAAAATAAACTAGGAAGAAGAACTAGCCTCTTGATGTCAAAGCGTCTCGAGAAACAAAGACAGGGTGGACATGCTTACAGGAAAAATTGATGATTATAGCTTAAATATATTTCGATTTTGTGAATTTTATTTGCATATTGTTGTTAGGGAGAAGAAGGAGCCCGCGGAGAGCCTGGACCCGAGGGAAAATCTGGTCTTGCCGTAAGTCATGGCAATTGTTGTGCTCAGTTGTATCACTGTTGTTTCCATTAACATCAGCGAAACGTTTAGACATCGTTAGATAGATAGTAATACTTAGACGTTTTTATTTGCCACAATGAGTTACCACTGAGTTAGAGTGACGTTGTAAAAAGTAAAAGGTTGATAGCTGCTTTAAATATATTGGGTTAAACTTTGGCAGTAGTCTAATAAGAAGACTTGTACAAACAATTTGCTTTACTCATGATCTGAGTGTACTGGGTTAAAACCATTTAGCCAATGCGAGGGAAAATCTCCTCCTCCTCCAAACTTACGCGTGATATGATTTTGTTGTGTGACTTGACAAGGGGATCGTATCAAAATCATGAATGAGCATCTCTTCTAGAGGTAGTTGCAAAAATTCCATTCACTTCGAACTACGAAAGTCAGAGTGAAGTGATGACTCGAGAAATGCTATTTGGTGGGATATAGACAAGTTTAATCTGGCATGATGTTGGTAAAATTTCAGTTGGGTAATACCCTCAAGGCAAAAGGTGACTTGAACATTTTGTTAAACTCTCCCTGATTGGTAATGGAGGTGTTATGTAACAAACATATAAGAATAACAGGTTACGTGTTTCTAGCAAAAGAAGTGCTCATTACAGCGAAGCGCCATGCAACACAATGGAAGTAATTGTAAACAAACACGTCTCTGTTTTGTTTGATAGGGTAGCCCTGGTGAGGATGGGCCGCCCGGGCCCCCAGGAGAGGAGGGAGAGAAGGTATGACACAGAATTTATCAGCACTGCCTCTTGAAAAACACCGCGTGAGATATTAAACCTGTTCTGCCAGCAACAGCTAGATGTGTAGTAACTTTAGTAGCTTTGGTGAAGTTAAAGTAGACTATGACGCCATCAACTTGATAAGTTCAGAAAGAAATTCGTTAAATAACTTAGCTAACACATAACCAATATTGTTAAACGTCCTTAGACTGCGACAGTAGTCATCCATTTGCCTGATAGCTCAGCTGGTAGGGCATTGCACCGGTGTCGTGGAGACCATGAGTTCGAATATCGGGCAAGCCCGAATGTTTTTTCAGGATTTATTATCACCACTACCAAACATGACTGCGATTGTCTTTCATGCATAAAATCTTTCACCCACAGTTCGAATGTATTATGTTTCTTACTTGCGTATTCATTTCAATGCCACAATTCGCCCCTTATGTCGCTTTGATGAAACAGTTTTGTACGGTGAAGATGACAGATCATATTTAATCAGGCAGTGTGGTTCTCCAGTCCTTCTTCAAATTATCAATGTGTTTTTCAGGGTGCACAAGGAGCCGCGGGAATCCCTGGAAAGAAAGGCGAACAAGGACCCAAGGTAACATCTTGAAAGATCAAAATAGAATTTCTCATTAGAATATATGGTAGTTAGTCAAGCATGGTGATTGTGAGAATTGAGGTCTTTAAACACCAGACAAGTTGTATATATGATTTAAATCTCCCAAGTGGTGTTATAAGAATAGCAAATCGCCCCGCAACGCTGAGAAGCTTGTATGTCATAATTGGGACTTGAATGTACTTGTTGGTCCGTATATTTATGCAAACTTTATACTGTTGCTTTAGAGACACTTATGATGCAATGGCCTTTGTAGGTGCCTTTAAAATAATCAGCAATTATAGTTGCAGACTCATCAGCATGCTCTGCTTACACTACAAGTTTTCAAGCGAAAAATGAGAGTTCAAGAAATGGGCAGGCGGAAAATGGGAGAGAGGGAACCTTTTTCTCGTGACGACTTTTTTTTCGCTCGTTTTCCCGCTCTTGCTCGACAGTCAGTCTGTCAAGTTAAAGAAAATTTAGCTATTAGCTAAATACAAAACGTGAAATAATTACATTAGAGTGGTTGAAATCGTTGTACTGAAAAATGTTCATTTCATTTTACTCTCCAGGGTCCCCCCGGGCCTGCCGGACCTGTGGGTTTACCAGGAAAGCCTGGACCTCCAGTAAGTACAAGAATCCAAATATAGAGTGTGAGGGAGAGAAAGAGCTGTCTCACGGACGACTCGTCGTAAAACAGTTAAAGAACGGATAGAAACAATATTACTCTCCAATTTGTTAAACAGCGATGGATTACACACTGTTCGTGGAGATGACTACTATGTATAATAGAACCTGATATGTGAATTACAGTCACACTGAACAGTTTAATGCTTTAAAACAGTCGTATTCATTTACCTTGCATACGGTGAACATTTAGATGACCAAACAGTATGCTCGTATCATCTACTTTACGCTAATAATACATGCTGGATTTAGTCAGTTAGACTTTGGAATGCGTTTTACCGGCTGTAAGTAAACTTCGCTTTGTATGTAAATTTTTCATTATTATGCTAATGCTTGATGTTCAAAAACTCTCACTTTTATGTTCGGAAGGCCCCCAACCGTCCACCAGTTTTTATTACTATTATTCCGGCATAACGCTCGATTCTTTCGTCTCACTATTGTGTTCAAAATATTCCTGGCGTCATGATTAAGGTGATTCCCTAGTAAAAGAACTCGCCATAGATTTCCGATGAAACTTGGTATGCTGTTGTTACAGGACAAGGAGATATTAAAAACGTTGTAAAAAGAGGGGGTTTCCGTGCTTATTTTCACGCCACAATGCTGACAAATACGGTTATTAAGGTGACTTTTTGGTAATCTCCGTGCACAACAAAAAAGATAGATTATTTTTTCAATGCAGCGTGTTATATCTCACAGAGTTTGACTTTCTTTGATTGTTTATTCATCAACGTACCAGAAAAAATGTCTTCAAATACCCTGCATTTTTTTATCCTTTGAAGGAACTTAATTTGGACAGGCGTTGTTGGGCCCGTTATCTCTCCCTCTGTAGTATTTATTTCATTTGCCAAAAAAGTAGCCATAGATTTCTGCTAATTTTTTTCTCAGTTATTGAGGATATTGTTTTCATTGAAATTATGAAATAAAAAGTGGGGGTCACCGTGCTCGTTTAAGAGAAAAGGAGCATTTAACTCGCTATCGAGCTTAGTTTTAGGGAAAGCTCTTACGTTGTGTACGCGCGCTAATGACGCGAAAGTCGTACGCAGTAGGGATGCGCAATGCAATATTAAGGAATCACCTTAAACCCTATTTGCAGCATGTTTCCCTTCGTTTTGATTTTGTTTCTGACCTGTACTTGTTCTCTACAGGGACCAGCCGGCGAGACAGGCCCCCAGGGGGCTACCGGCTCCAGGGGCGAGAAAGGTAGTGACGGAGAGCGTGGACCACCCGGACCTACCGGCGCTCCGGGTGTTCCGGTGGGTGCTGCATAGTTTGAAAGATGCTTTTGTACTGTTGTGTCCGGCCCATTGCCCCGCAGGGATTATGGTCAAAAGTAAAATGAAGTTTGTACTGTGGTAATGGTTTAGCCGGCTGCCGATTACTTAGAAGCTAAATCACTTAGGTGTTATGATACAAAACATTACGGACGTCTTGCTTGTATGCCTCAAAGAACATGGAGCATATGCTCTCTGCGTTATTCGGAAAAGCTGTGTAATATTAATACATTGCTTGTTGGATATTTTACAGGGCATTCCAGGACCGAGAGGGCAGAAAGGAGAAAGAGGCTCTAGTGGACCGCAGGTGTGTTTTAACATGGCGACAGAGAATTGGGATTTCAAACGGTGTTTTCTCATGGCTCCGTGATTATGCGCCTACTTTCAGAATACTTATGCTCTTGTATAGTCGACAACAAGAGGTTCTGGATGGGGGTGGTGGAGTCTCAGTTGTTAGTTAAATTTTCGGCGATTTCTCGGCTACCAGTACAATTTACAGCCCATTTACCAGCTACCACTAGAACTGGATATTGGACAGCATACAACATTTCTCTGTGTTGTTTTCCTTGCAGGGCTCTCAAGGTTTGCCGGGGCCGCGCGGAGCACCAGGGCCAGCAGGAGCTAAGGTAACAAATATCTTTTAATGGGCTTTTAACTTGTGAATGCGTAACTTTGGTGCTTTCTCTTTCGCTTGTAATGTTTTGGTAGCAAAGTTCAAAAGGTTAAATTAGAAATACACACTTTAGACACACGTGGGATTTACAATGTTAGGAAGTAGAATTCACTTTTTAATGTTGATTGCTTCTTGGCGAGCCAGAACTAAAATAGAATGTTAAAACTGAAAGCACACATTGAAAACCAGTTGGACAAAATATTTTGGACCACCCATGTTTTATGTATTATACGAACATGTCCGTTTCAAATATCGCCCAATCACGCATGGTTTCTTTAAAACCACCTACTACTTATGCTGTGAGTATGGAGTTCGCCTGATCAATCCACGAGTTGGCTTAAAGAGCCTTTGATTTAACCATATATCATTGGATTTGCTGACTCCAGAGAAACCTATATTAAGCGGGCTTGATATTAAGCGGACACCCAACTAGTGAGGGACCTGAGGGCTTCCACTTATTACAAGTTTCACTTTACAATCTATCACTGTGCAGCTATGGTCTTTGCGGAGTAATACTTCTTGTGTTAAAACTGGTTTTATTTTTTTAGAAATGGAAATGTTTTATAACTTTTGGTGAGCTGCATGCTCCATTATTGAAGCAATTTTAAACATGATTATTGGCCAAGATACTTTCATATTTGTGACGTGATTCCTCCCCATCCTTTCCACAGGGAGACCAAGGTGAGCCTGGTGACACCGGAAGTGATGGAAGATCAGGAGATAAGGTAAATAGCAGCTTCCTCCTTTCTCAAATTATTTTTGACACTGTTTGCCTTTGTTGTACTTTCGTCTGTTGAATTATCAGCTAAATAAGATAAATCTTTACACAGGGAGACCAAGGCTCAAAAGGCGATCCGGGCGCGCCAGGGACACCAGGTTCACCGGTATGTTACGTCTAACAACCTTGTTTCCATGAGTTGTCCCGAGTGTTTGTGGCTGGGTGTGAACTTACGGGGATGTCACTGTGTTAAGGGAAAGGGTGTGGAGGGGAAGGTAATAGAGTTAACCTCACGACCCTCGCTCAGAAAGAAAGCATGATTCCCGGATTCTAAAGGTTTGATAAAGAGTAAATCTTGAATTATCAACCAACGCAACACAACAGTTGCCTTAGACACTGCAGATTGCACCACAATCCTTTTAAGAGGAAAGCAGCCTTACGCAAAGAATTGATTTTATAGTGAAACGATGAAAAGTCAAAGACTGCTATTGCAAGGCTGACAGAACGTCGTATATTTAAAACATATTTTCGGATGGCCAGACCATACTTCTTCAGGTTTAGATGTTACTAAATTATAAAAATGAAATTACAATATTATATAATGGTGGATGTTGTAACATTTATTTCGAAACACACACGTCGTAACACATATTTTAAAGTAAATGGAATCACCAAGTGTCAAACTCTTGGGTACAAAACCATCTATATTTCAACTCCTTCTCATATCGAAGATAACGCACAAAGTAGGAGTTTGACTGATATAGCGGCCGCCTGAGCAGAAAGATCATCTGTCGCCACAAGTTGGATAGGCATAGCCGGTACACACTTCATGTAGGCTTACTTGACATGCATTTCTGACACAGGGCCGACCTGGTGATGTGGGAGCTAAAGGCGACAGAGGCGATCCCGGCCCGCAGGTATATTGAACTCGGCACTTCATGTGAAATTAAATGTTAAGTCCTTTAGTTAATTGACCTAAGATTATATCAGATTACTGAAATGCTTGCAAGAACAAATTCTATTTGGATCATGATTCACCATGTGGCTAAATATATTTTCGCCTTGCCAGTTGCCAAGAGTTGTTTCAGAGCGTCCTCAAGTACTTACTGTATCCGACGTAATCTATCCAAATCTAATTATCTTTCTAGTACGAGCAAAAGTATTCAAAGGCTAAAATTTAAAAGTAACATTGTTTGGTAGTCACGTTACCTGAGATTGCTTCCTTGTTAATTCTATAGGCTTTTTCCCGGTTGTCCTTTTTCTCATTTTGAAACAGAGGCTAAACTGAGTCTGGTATGGCCTGTTGGCATTGAGAAACGAACTTCACAAGCATCTCACCATAGAGCGAATTTTAAAATGTTTTGATCCTGTACTCAAGAGAAACCTCGGCACCCAGAGTAATTGCTTGCAAGTCTCAACTCTCAAGATTTACCTGTTATGTTATGAAAGAGAACTACTCTTCTTGGATAGTAATGGATTTTATTTTTTATGTTAGGGACCCACGGGACCGCGTGGCCCTGCAGGTCAAACCGGTGCAAAAGGACCAATGGTGAGAAGGATCCTGTAATGTTGCTTATGGGCCCATAATCATGGGTGCTAATTTGAGATCCTTTATTTTAGGGCGCGACTGGACCCCCGGGACCTCAGGGCCCGCCAGGACCACAAGGTGCCAAGGTAGGCTTCTCGCAAACTGATGTTAAATATTTTATTGAGTTCTTGTATATTAGGGCTGATTACCTCAACGGAGTCTAGGTTAGAGTGACTGATTTGTGGCAGAACCGAGCATTCTTTCTTACTAACTGATAGAAGCACTACTTGGCGACGCAAAAGGCGATTTTGGAGTATACTGCTGATATCTTATTTGTCTTCGTTGAAAGGGAGGTCCAGGTCCAGACGGGAAAGATGGTAACCCAGGCCCTCCAGGAGCGAGAGTAAGATTTATATTTGATAACTTCTGGTATTATAACCTCTTTATTGCACTGTTGAGAAACCATTCAGTTGGTCACTTACTGTTCGCCCTTTCCAAGACGTGGATACCACAAATTACAGTAAAGTACTGCAGAACTAAGCTAAAAGAAAAGCAACTATGTGGAACTGAGCTTTTCACCACGAATTATTTTTGTGCGCCTCGTCCAGATAAATTATATCGTAATGTAGTTGAAGAAACTAAGTCGACCAAAAAAATATATTAGTGGTAGTTCTGAGTGGTTCATTTTTAACTTGACGTCAATATGTCGCCTCTATTTTATTTTGAAAATAATATAAATATGACGGGGGTCGGACCCAGTTATGCTAAATACTGATTGATTGTGGCAATTCTTTTTACCTTAGGGTCCCCCCGGCCCCAGGGGTGATGACGGTATCCCCGGTAAACCGGGTCAGCCGGTAAGTGAAGCCTTTGTTAAGTGGAGCAGTTGGTGCTGTCAATCATGGTTCTTACGTCACGTGTTGTTGTTGTTGTTTCAGGGAGAGCCTGGGCCTCGGGGATTTACCGGATCTGATGGTGACCCTGGTGATAAGGTATCCATGGCAACTCCAACGTTTAGGCCATGTTCAATCAAATGAGTTTCCGTTTGAAAATGCACTTTTTATGTATGGGTTTTCATCTACATGCACAAACGATGTAAAACGCGCGTGGTCGCTTTTCTCGAATTTGGAAACTTAAAAATGCATAAACAGTTAGCTTGGGTAGATGCAACGGAGACTTTCAGAAACGCTGACTCAAGGCTGACTATACTCAATCTGGTGCTGTCAGAGATCTCACGTGACAGATGGTTTGGAGACAAATGGATTGAATCTCGATTCCACCAATTACATAGTGGCCTGTTTCACATTTGTCAGTCGTTTACTTCCATTTACAAAATCAAGGCTTAACTGTACTCTGTTTGTTTGTCTTAGCTTGCGAACAGGCTCTGTAACGGGGTATACGGCAAAAAAATTGGAAAGCCAAGCGATCCCGGCGATCTTTTTCTCCTTAGACTGCGGTCGGCTTGCTGCGCTTGCCAATTTCTTTCGCCGTATACCCCGCTAACCTACTCACAGGTTTATGTTTACGTTATTTTTGATCTTTTCTTGATTGTGTTCTTCGTTTTTATTTCGCAGGGCGAAACTGGACCACCCGGTCCCCAGGGAATTGCAGGTCCCCCCGGACCACCGGTAAGACTTGATTACGTTGTAATTTTAATTGAACAAGATAAGAAATTAAGCAGTCGTCAATGGGCAATACCCAAGCGAACCGTACGGTCGTTAAACTTCGCTCCACAGATCGTACACGAGTCCATTTGTTTATCATTAGTGAATCATACTCATGCTCAGTCAGGATAAAACGGTATGGAAACTATATCCAGGAATTTTGATGATGTAGTTTCCATCAGGAGCCATAATCGGGGACGGAGACCGTAAGCGCGCGCCATTTCTAGTATTAGGGTTGTCCCCATGATATGGGACAATAATTCTATTTTTAGA